ACTAGTTGTAGATAAGAAAACGTTACATGATATCAATGGTAACAAAAAAAAAAGAGTGCAGCATGTTTTTTTTTTATATGTAAATATTTCATCAACAAATGGTTGTTGATATGATTCCCGCATTAATGCGTACAATTGTCAAGGATCACAAAACGGAACCTCTAAATCTAGATGTTTGGAAGATGAGAATGCAGGTGTTTCTCAAAGAACAAGATCTCCTTTTCTTTTCATTCTTTAAGTTGAATAATCACATGCTTAGCGCCACCACGTAGAAAACAACAACATTCCTTTAAAACGATCGAAAATAACGAAACAGAAGTTCAGGGAAAAACGGCTAAATAGCAAAACACGACAAATACCCAAAACGAATACGTTCTTCGGAGATGACATCACCATGAAACAACACAAGCTAGAGAAGTGGAAAAAACGTAAACAAGAAAGAACAAAACCAAGTGAGATTAATCATGAAAACTACAGGAAAGAACAGAAGACAACACTAATCTTCGTGAACGACGGTAATTTACAAAAACGACATAAATATAAACGGCAATAACGTTAGAAACGACCTAAATCAGGAAATCTCAAGAAATATGCAAACAATAGTAAACTTAAGAATATGCATTGAAAAGAATAAATAAATAAGCAAACTTAAGAAACATTTCCGGAAAACCGACAAAGTGTATAAAAAGCGCAACCTAACGGACAACCCAGAAACAGCAATTTTTGATAGACAATGGGTTTAACGTTAACCAGATTGTACAGTTGTACAGCAGCACATATATTGGAGAACATCGTCAACTTAGAAATTAGAAAAACCACCTTACAATGTGTTTGGTACGATGAAAAAATAGAAATAAGGAAGTATGTAAAGAGATTATTGGATGAAAAATTATAAAACTGGTTATTTGGTAAGAATGAAGAGAGGAGAGAAACGAAAATAGGATGAAAAAAAATTATGATGGGGTGGGGTCACTATTTTTTATTTTTTTAATATTAGAAGGAAAACTCAAATCCACTCATTGATAGTTAAATTTATTTTTACGTCTTTATTTTAAAATATTAATTAATATTAAACAATTGATAAAATAGTCATTTAGATTATTATTTATTTTCTTTCCTCTCATTATACCAAACATTATAAAAAAATAAAAAAAAATTAACTTTATTTATTTCCTTCCTATTTTCTTTCCTTTATATGTTTTCTTTCCATTCTCTTTTCTTTCCGTCCAACGGAAATAAGAAATTTTCGTTAGTGGAAGTGATAATTAATGGGACTATAACATCAATTTTTTTTATTTTTAGTTGGGGATTATTGCACATATTAATATGTTAAACTATGAATCTACACTTACATCAGAGAAATTGAGTGGGGAGCTCGGGCTCGAGCTCTTAGTGGGTCTTAGTTGGCCTCATGAGTAGCAGCACGCGTGGATGGAGCCAGGAATCTTTTATCAAAAGGGACTACTAAGATAAAATTTAGTGAGGATTATAAGGAACTTTAATTTTTAGTAGGGTCACACACACACACAAACATGATGTCTACATACATTAAAAAAAAAAAAAAAAATGAGGGAGGCTCAACCCTGACTTGGGTCTTAATTGACTCCGATTAGAGCTGTAAGTTTAAATCAAATTTACTATATATATATAAACTGTTATTTATTTTAAATAATTTTAAAATTTATTATTTATTTAATTTAATTTTAAAAATCTACTGCGTTCTCCCAAACTATTTTTAGATTAGGAAGGCCTAGCCGAAAGCCCTTTTTATTTTTCTAAAAAAAGGCGCCCTTTAACACGGTAGGCTTTAGAGCCGGACCGAGATTTTCTCCCTTATTTCCGGTCTAGTCTACTTAAAATATATGGCCTGCGGACCAGCCCAAAAAAATCGGGCTCAGGCTAGTTGGGCTAAACTTTCGCCTCTAGCTCTGAGGATGGTAGCATATATATTGAGCGGGATCCATAAATTTTCTCCCTATTGCATATTCATTTGACAATACGGAAATAGTAAAAAATAAGTCAATATGAAAAATTTTAAAAAGTATATAGGATAGGCTAATTTTTAGTTATAGAAATTAATAGGTCATAATTTGTCAAGTTATGGTTCATAACCAGATAAATTATTGACAAACTTATTAAGTTATGGTTCATAACTAGATAAGTTATAGACAAAAATCGTAAATTATGAACAATAACTTGTCAAGTTATGGTTTATAACCAGACAAGTTATGAACAAAAATAGTAATTTAACCTATTTATTAACTTATATAAACTATTGGCATATTAATTTTAATTATATTTTCCTCTTTCTCCCTTGATAATATTACACCGATTTACCATGGTTTACGTATGTGTTTTAATGTTTCTTAAACTTTTTTGACTCATATGTTATTCATTGCTTTGGTTTTCGGACTATATTGTGTTTTGACGGGACATATTTGGGTTTCATTGCTAGATTTCATTTGCGTGTGTTTAGAAATTTGTTTGTTTTGCAAATTGATTTTGGACTTAATTTACGATGAAGTTGTACTTTTAGGAATAAGAAACACTTCTCATATGTTGCCATTCCTAATTATTGGCACAGGATTCACCAAATAGGCGAATGTTGGGGGAGATCCATACATGGTGGAATGGATTACATAATATTCATTTGATCATTTTGCACTGATTTACGATAGGGTTGGTGAGAGCAAGTAATTACAAACTGTAAGCTTAGTCCTTACATGTATTAAAAAAAAAAAAGAAATGAAAAGAATTTTCTGAAACAAAATTAGAAAAGATGGTTTGAAGTTCGGTAGCAAGGAAAATTAAAAGAGATACTTGCAGGAACACTTTGATATATGTGTGTGAAAATGGATTATAAAGATAGAGAGTGACATTGTGAAAAGAGAAGGTACCTCGTGTGGCATATACATCCCTCATAAATTAGATTGTCAAGGACAATAATCAACTTTATCACCCACAAACAAAATAAAATTAGAAAAACGACGCCAACAATAAATTAAAAATAGTATAAAAACGACAAAGGCCTCAATAAACGACATTAAAAAAAGGCCTTTCAAGTTTCACGTTTCATTTCCAACCTCGGAAACGGCACCAACTACAAAACGACAACATGTTAAAAACGACAAAACCTCAGAAAACGACGTTAAGAGAGTGGGAACGGAATAGACGACAGATTCCAAAACGGTTAAAAAGTGGTGGATACCCACTAATGGCCATTCCTGGCTCACGTGAAGCTGGCTTCAGTTCACCCTTCTTTTTTGCTCTCTTTTCTTGTTAAATTACGTCAATTGCAGTGTGAATTAAAGAAATTAATTTTAGTCACACTCTCATTTGATATTTTCACTACTATTTATTCTATGTATTTTGGTGATTATCACACCAATTTTCAATATATTGTAATTTGTATAAAACGGTCCGAGTCAATAGTTAGAAGTGTAAAAAATGTGTTAAGAGTGGAGGAGAAAAAGGAGACTGAATTTTCATTCTATCGTTTTCACCCATGTTCATTTTATGGATTCAAATTATCTGTCTAATTTTGGTGTATGAAATGGTGTCTAATATCAGATTTTATCATATCAATAAAAAATTTAAAACAACTTTTAATTAACTTTTTATATCAATTAAACGATATGACATGATATAATTGGTTAGACATTAATTGAGACAGTAAAATTTAAACTGGAGATTTGAAATCCTATTTTATGTTCTGGAGTTGAGTCAAGTAATAAACCTTTTAGACACATTCCATAAAAATAATAAAAAAAATATAAGTAAAGAAAATAAAAGTTGCAAATGTGTAATAAAAAACCGTCAAATTTCTCATATTCTAGTATTCTACGATCAACCTCTAGACATTTTTGACTCATTTATTCTTTTTTTTTTACGAGTAAAAAAATGTACCATAATTACACAAAATGAGAAGACTCAGAAATCACCATGAAGTTGCTTAGAAAGACGTATGACCATTTTGCAAACAGGGTAACAACGTTTTTCCTAGGTAAAATTTTTTCAATTTTCAAGTTTTCCTAGGTTAGTCTTATATACAACGTTTCATGTCGCTTTCTCAGGTTAATCTTCAATCTTCTTTTTAACAGAATCAGCACCCTATTTTTGACCGGAAAGATCAATACATTTATAATTAATTTTCCTTTTTGTTTTTTCCTTTTTCCTTTTTATAATTAAAAGGAGAGCAATAGTTGGACGCTGAGAACTCCAAACTCAAAGACAAATTGCTAGACAATATCTTCTACGTCATTGTCAAATGGATTGCTTACCCTTTTTGTATCATTTTTTTTTCTTTTTTTGTTTTTCTTTTTTCTCCTTTGGAACTTCTTAGGAAGCAACATTCACGAAAAAGATTCTTAATTTAATATTTTTTTTTCAATAAAAACTACTCTTGCCTCCTCATTATAAACAACCAAAAGAAGACAACAATTTCTTTTCCTTGAAGTCTCGGCCATCACATCCCCCACTAGTTCATTTCCTTTCACTATTCCCTTCTATTTTCATTTCAAAGTTATATTTTCTCTCATTTACCCTTTTACTTTATATATTCAAATTTAAATTATTAATTTTATTAATATTTTTTTATCATAAAAAATTTAAAATACGTCAAAATAAAAAATTAAAGTTTAAATATATCTTTCAAACGAACTCTTAATAATATTAATAAAGCAAAAAAATAACATAGATACTTAAATTCAGAAAATAAATTTGATTTCACTTTTTTTTTGTCGTCACACATGCAGAAGTTTTAAGAGCTCATGCAAGCGTAAGGGCGTAAAGGGGTGAGGATTTTGCTTTGCGGGCATTTTCCCGAGGAAGATAAGAATTTACAAATACCAAGGGAATGGTGAAATGGAAAATCTCATTTTCCCAAATAGGAAAAAAAAAAAAAAAAAGAAGAAGAAGAAGAAACAGATTTTGTTTTTTTGTTTTTTTGTTTTTTTTTTCATCTAATGTGAAAATGCAAACACAACTATTTAACAGGCAGCTTTTTTATCTTGTGTAAACCGCACACACTCCACAAAAGGGTATTCACATAAACCAAGATTTTAAATAGTTGGTCTACTTTTAACATAGAAGAGAAAAGCCTCCTAAACTTCCCACTAAAACCAACCTTCCAACCAACGACCATATTTTGCCTTGTTGCAAAAGCTCCAAAAACATGAGCAAAACCACCATCACCACCTTTACCACCAAATGGAAAAAGGGCAAAAAAGGAACCCAAAAAAAAAAAAACCAAACTAACATAAACTAGAATAATTGAATCGGATCAAGTCTCGGCTCTATGCTCCGAATCAATACTAACATCGGTTCCTTCGCACTCCAACGACGACGAACGAAGCTTTAAGTTACTCATTTTCTTCACTTCCTCGCTTGAGTATATGAGTATCTTCTTCACCATTTTACAGAATTCACTGCAATTTGATTAAAAAAAAAAAAAGAGGATTGTTACTTTTGGATTCAATCCCGGGTAATGAAATGACAACGCAGGAAAATAGTATCCTTTTTCGAGTTACTCACGTCCATGGATCGTCCCCCACAAGCATCATGTCGTTTTCATCATCGGTAAACACGACTGCCCATTTGCTTGGCGGATGAAGCTCTCCTTTGATTTCAAACATTTTCTCCAACTCATTGATGAGATCGTTGTAACCGTTCAGCGTGGTCAAGTCCACAGCACGACCAACAGCAACCCCTTGCATTTGTACCTTCTCAATGGAAAATAAAATGTTCAGCTATTGAAATAATAATAATAATCATAACTGGTTCGAAATGGTAGCTTAATCTTAACAATTCGAGATAAACGTTTTACCTTAGTACGGGACCTTGAGCTAGAACCCTGTTTGCTTTGTGTGTCCTTTCTTGGTGGTGCCTGGGGCGTAAGTTTCTGCTCCGCTAAGAGCTTCAAGGCCTCCCCATTTTGAGCCTTGTCATCTTCCGATGCATATCGTGGAGATGATCCTTTGCTCGAGGATGCAACGACCAAGCACGTTGGCTCTCTATCCGGAGGAGACACAATTGTAGAATTGCTTGTCAAATTGATTCCGAACAGCCTACAACCTACAGAAGCATCAGACTTTGTCCCCTTTTCCTTTTGGATACTAGGTCTCGATGAGACAGGAGATGCAAAACCAGACAGAGCAGACCTTGCAGTAACAGTTATGTTGTCCCCCATGGAATCCGGGAAAAGGTTCAAAGACATATCCACATCTGGTGAAGAAGGCCAGACGCCTTCCGAGCGGACTACTGAGCCATAGTAATTGCCGTTACTTGTATCTTTCTGTTTCGCAGGCCAGACAACTTGGCGGTCAGAGCTTTGAGCTTCAGCATTACTACCTAACTGGGTCACGTCTGTAGATTGCGAAGATCCATGATACCAGAAAGCTGAAGCACCTGAAGTGATGGTGGCAACTTCTGTACTCCAATTGAGAAAATACAAGTTAATACAAGACCCCAGCAACATGTCATAAAAAAGGATACACTGCCAGAGTTTTTCTCATACCAGATGACGGAATCTCAACAGGTCGGGGTCTCTTGTTCTTTGGTGCCGGTTGTGTTATGTTTAAAGGATTAGAAGCTACAAAGGGCTCTATCTCCCAAGGAGAAACCGTATCTGGCCTTTGAATTGTGGCATGTTCATCCCATTGTACCTACAATCAGAGGTATATAAGAATTAGTTTAAGGAAACAATTACGGATCAACATCAACATTAGAATTAGTCATATGTAGAAGTACCTTCAAAGACCGCCATTTCGAATCTTTCCATTGCGAAGATGAATCTCCAACCCCAACTATGGTGCCCGTGAACCTAGAGAAGTATTGTAGGAAATTAACTGTCATGTGTAGGAAATTAACTGTCAAGTGGAAGAAAAACAAGTTAAACATCAATATCTCAAAATTTACCCCAATTACCTTCTCTCAGGCGAGTCTTCTCCCTCAAACCTCATCTTAAAGCGCATCCCAACAGAAAAGTTATGGCTTACAGCCTCTATATACTTGTTTACGCCAACAAGGAACTGATGATTAGTCCTGAAATACTTAACCAAAGTTACAAGCTTGAAAAAAAAAAATGGTATGCATCAAGACAAACAAATAAAGAATCATCGCCCCAACCTTGGCTTGTAGTAAACTATAAAGATAGTTTGGGTGGTAATAGCATGAGCAGCAGTTGCAAGCACGCCAAGATGCATGCTGTGGCTCGATATCACAGATGAAGGCATGAGACTCTGTTGACGAGCAGAACGCCGAACACCTACCCGAAGTTCTCCATCATCACCCCTGCAAAAGTCAACATGAAAAAAAAATCTAAGCTACCAAGCATGAATTCTCTAGAACTAAAAGAAAAATACACGTCATATATGAAGCTCATATACCTCAAAAACACAAAGGCATCTCCTGCAACCAATCTTTTTGAAGTGACAAATGTACTCCACCCTGTCGTAAGCAAATGCCTACGAGGTTGGCCTAATTAATTCAGCGGAAAACAAAACAGACAAGAACACAAACTCAATTCCAAGAACTCTTAACGAGGTACTAATTGCTTGTTTACCAATGCACAAAGAAAATTTCAAACTTGGTTACCTCTAAATATGTGCTTGAACTTCCACTCATACCCATGAAGATCCCTGGAAGCCAATTCCTGAGTTGGGGTTGCTTGAGTCATGTCCTGAATTATTAAAACAGGTAAAACACGAATAAATCATGGTCGAATACTTCTACACACAGATATAGCAGAATAATTCTTAACCTATATAGTCGATTACCAATGGAGGCAAGCATTCAGTGGCATGCTTTCGAAGAACTGAGAAACCGCCATGGGTGCTAGTATCGGAGGCCGTTAAGATCTTGCAAAATGAGTGAACAGCTGGCCTCGGAGGCTCAGGCATGACTGGATCAGGACTTGTGATTTCAACTTGCTGTATAATTGAAAGCCACCCAAAAATCAATTATCTACAAGGCAAGCACAAACACACCTACTCACAAACTCTTTTGTTGGTCACGTTCTATTTAGTCTTGCTATAGACATTGCAGCAAAGAGAATAGAACAATTTGAAATACATTATTCGAATCAAATAACACATGAAACTGAAAAATCACTATACTAAAAAAAAAAAAAGAAAGAATCTCACATCCATTTCTGGGACCAAAGTGATCTGAGCATAAACTTCATCTGTTTCTGGCTCTGCCTGCAAAATAATAAAATAAAATAAAACAGGAAAAAAAAATAGATAAAGAAGAAAGCAAATCACCAGATGAAAATGCTATAAACCAGAGATAGATTAGAAATAGACTTACCATATATTCAGTGTTGACCACTTTACAGAGGATCTTCGGAGGGAGATTAAAGAGAGGGAATTGCTGATTTTGTTCCTGATTCATCGACAATTCCAACTGCAAAAAGAAACCACAAGTTTTAGTTTTAAACCCCCACCATAAAACCAGAGAGAGAGAAAAAAAAAAAAAAAAAAAAGGTTCCCTCAACCACTAAAAACAAAAACAAAAAAACTATGATCTAAAAACAGAGGTTGAAGAGTTGATTACTAATTACTTGTTCCATATGGCCCTGAGGGAAGTAAAAAACTCTCTCATGAAGGCGAGGAATCTCCACCAAAGGCCCCGCACATGTCAGCCATAGGTCTTTGTACAGAGGATCTATGTGTCTCCACTCTATCAACACCAACAACAAAAAACAATAAAAATTTTAAAAAATATATGAATGACATATAATGAGCGTAAAGTGTGAGACTTTTTATTATGGTATGCTTGGTTTCCGAGTCCAGAAAAAAAAAAAAAAAAAAAAAAAAAAAAAAAAAAAATAAAAAAAAAACGAAAAATGAAATTGTTAAATTCCTCCGTTTTTTTTTTTTTTTTTTTGGTGAAAGTACTTGTAAAGCAAGGAAGAAAAAAAAAAAGAAAGATAAAAACTTTTGCATTTTTATTCCAAGGTGATCAAAACCCAGAAAAGAGCGAACCTGAATTAGAGCGAGGAGTCGACGACGAGCCTCCATGGGGATGAGCCATTCAAAGGCCCGGGAATGAAAGCAAAAACGACGAGTCGTTAGGGATGTAAGAAGAACCCAATGAGTTGAAATGAAACACAGCTAAAAAAAACGTCTGAAGAAGAAAAGGCTTCTTTTTTTTTTTTTTTCTGTTTTCACACAGTGTGGGAAATCATAGCCTACCCCATTTGCGAACAACGAAGACCCAGAAGACGCAGAAGCACAATAAGAGAGAAAATTAAATAAATTAATTAATTAAAATAAAATAAAAGGAGGAGAAAGGAAAAAGAAAATAACAAAAGGAAGCTAAACAGACAGGACGGTTATGCAAGCACTGATAATAATTATTCAGAAGCCGTACTATTTCTCCCGTTCTTTTTTCTCTCTCTTTCTCTGTAACGACTGTGATTTTTTATAGAGAGTTGTGAAGCTGTGCTTCTCTCTCTCTCCTCTCTCTCTCTCTCTCTCTCTCTGTTGTGTTTCCCAGTTTTCAGTTACAAAAGGACTGCTTTTGTTTGCTTTTTTTTTTCCCCTCTTCTGAAGCTCTTTCCTTTCTTCCGGGTTTCTTCTTCTTGTTGTGTCTTTGTTGTTGTTGGTGTTGATGTTGCTCTCTCTCTCTCTCTCTTAAGGACCTGAATCGACGTTACCAAATCCCAAAAACTGCTTCCTCTGAGTCATATTATAATCTCTCTCTCTCTCTCTCTCTCTCTCTCTAGGTTTCTTTTGGAGAATAGAGCCCTGCCTAAGTTTAGTGCTTGTTTGTGCTTAGTGTGCTCTCCTCACCACCCTGTTACAATCTGTGCAGTGACAAAAGAAGAGCACACTCATTTGGGCCACCTCATCAGGATGAATATGAAGAAGATTTTTCGAACCCCACACAAAAGTCAAGCATTCAAGCCCTAGCCAACGAGAACAATAAACACAAGTTTTGTGGCATGAATGTTCCTGATTTCTAATAAGTTTTTCATTTCATTCTATCCAATTCACATACTGTTTATTTATAATATAATTGTGATGTGATCTCACGTTACATACGCATTTTTGGTAAGTGTTTTTAGGCATCGTTCATTTTATCAATTCGAGTTTTTAATTTTAAATTTTTATAGTAAAAAGTTCTCAAAAAATATCATATTTAACTTTTTTTATTACAGTAAAAAACACTCAAAAAATGTCACATCTCAACTTAAATTGAAAACTCAAATTCACAAAGTGAGACCAATAAGCGCCGGTGAAAAGTTAAACAAAATCTGCGAGATTTTCATTAATTTACTTGTTAATGAAATTTTTAATATAATTTGGTGTTAATTGTGTGCTTTTCAGTAAGTATGTATTATTCTTACCGCACATGCATCATCCTCCAAGATTTTCATTAATTTACCTATAGTTTGTATTACGTAACAAACAAAAATAGAAATAATATGCATTTATAAGAATTTTAGTGATTATCATGTTATTTTATTAAAGTTAAAATGTAATTCTAACTCCAATTCTGATGCGATCCAATGTTAATATGAATTTCCGGTAAGTAATTCTTACCAGCTAAGTGGCCCTTAAGATTTTATAGAAATGACTTATGTGTTCTTTTTTGCTAGAAGACTGATGTGTCCTTAAATAAAGGTCTTAAGACTCAAATTGCTAGAATTTGTATGCAAATTTAATTTGTGACATTTTTTTTCGGAATAGAATGATAATCGTGACTTTTTTTTTTTTGAAAGGGAAAATATTTCATTTCACAAGAAATGACTTATATAAGACACTGATAATTTCAAATACAATGGAGATTCACCCCGACCTTTTTTACTGGATCCACCAGTAGAACACCATAGCATAAGAGCTTAACACATTTACAATTAATGTAAACTTTTCATAATTGAAGAAAGGGATGAATGATAAACTTTTCATAATTAGAGAAGCAAGAGCTTAACACATTTAAAACTATTGTAACAAAAGTTCTATTATAACTTTTTTTTTGTTCCTTTTTTAGGATTTTTTTTTATTAATTAGAGTATAATTATAATAGAAAGTCAATGACAATGATATTATAGAAACTAATAACGTGGTAGTAGTGCGTCATGGGAGGTAGATTAATAACGTCGAGGGCATGATAACTTGTTTGGAATAAATTTGATCAAAATAATATATTAGTTCATACAATTCATCAAGGAATTACGTGGATAGTGATTATTCCTTGTTTAATTCGAGAAAATCAATCTACCTAACACATCAATAACGCGTAAACCAACAAGGGAAGTTGGATAATAAACGCAATCCAACTAATGGTAGGGTTTCTAAAAATTGTGTAATATGTGTAATTTTCCTCTTTAAAAAGGTATAGTTTTTTCCTTTTTTTTTAGTGAAAAAAAGGTATATTTTTTTCTCTTTTTTTTTTTAGTGAATAAAGGCATAGTTTGTAGTCAGTTTTTTTTTTTTTTTTTAAATTATTTTACAATGAGTTTACGTATAAAAACAAGATTAATTATACTTCATTACTCATTTTAAGTTACCAAAGTAAGCGTGATATTTGTGAGTTACAAAATGAGTTGTAACGTTCACCTTTTCAGCTCGACTATACGTTACAAGTGTATATAACTGAGGTTCGATTCAAAAAGTATTAGGCTAGACGCCAAAAACCTAAACTATACAACAAGTACCATATGAACATGTTGTCAAAGGGGTAAAAAGCGTGGGCAGTTATATCACAATACCATGTGTTTTCTCGTTCATTACAAAGATATCTCAATGTTTCAACAATATTAAAGGGAAATTGTGTCATAAAATTTAAAGAAATGTCACATAAATATCCCGAAATCGTCTTTTAAGCAAAAAAAACATATATATATATATATATATCAATTTATCTCTTCAGGGATTGAGAGAGTTTCCCAATCTCAATTAATCACCAATATCATATAAGAAATCTTTGTAGGATTCAATCTTCTTTTGACCTCGGGAGAGAATTGTAAAGCACTCTCTTTTAGTCCTCGATAAAGGGATGATGATCAAAACACCAATTAAATTTGTTAAAATACTAAGATTATCCTTCCCAATTTTTATCAGATTTAATTTAAAAGATTAATTAACCAAAATGTTAAATGAAATCAATCATAAAAAATGAAAAGGTCTCAAAATAATTGAAGTATTTATTTGATTAGAATATTTATTTGAGCATTTTTAAAAAACTTTTGTTTAACTTTTTAGTTAAATTATATCTAAAATGACATTTAATATAAATTGAAAAGGGTAATCTGACATTTTTAAAAATTTAACTTCTTCAAATGGTGTTTTAGGTATGCTTTTATAAATACGTGGAGTGTTTTAGACATTTGCATAATAAGATAAGTGAAAGTAATATTTTGACAAAATACGAGGGGCATTTTGTGTAATTTTCCTTTGACAAATTTATAAGCCAAAAGTAATTGGAAGGAGATCAATTAGTAATAATAATAATAATAATAATAATAATAATAATATAGAAGGTTCAGAAAGGTATAAAAAATTCTAAAATATTCAAATTTATTCGCACACAGTTGACTAATGATAAAGAGTGAGGCGAGAAATATCAAAAGGTTGGAACACTTGATCATACAAAATTTTTATTGCTAAATAAGTAATTTGTGAATCGCTAAAAAAACGTCTTTCACTATCTGAATAACTAAACAAATTCCAGCTAACGAACTGAACAATCCCGAGTTTTCAGACTCATCGCACTTCCACTAGGGTCGAGGCCGCCACTCGGCCCCGGTCCGCGTATCTCACACTCCCAAAGTATCTTTTTGATTTCATATTTCATTTTCTTTTCTTGTATTATGTTTGCAATTAAACCCCCGCTTACTTTATTACATTACTTATTTTTTTAATCTACACAAAATTTAAAACTCCTCCAACACGAGTCTCCTAGTCATTGTGCTGCGGTCCGTTTTCCGGCTTCGCTTGTGCGATTTTCACTTTTAATTGGTTCCATCCATACTTGATCCTAATGAATCGCTTTTGACCGTCCAATTATTCTTCTAGTCATGGTCACCATTTTGTTATATCCGCTACATATTATTTATTCCCGGAAAGCAATAGTCTCCAAGTGAATCTCTTCCCGACCAAGCCAGGCCGAATCGGGCCACCCCTTGCTTCGCCGCCTTCCCGGCTCCCGATTTTAAGTGAATATGTTTTTTTGTTCAAGTGTGGGAGTTATTCTAGTTTTTATAAAAATAAATAGTTGAAATGGGAGGAAATGGAAATGATTTTAGATTAACATAATGTTTTTTAAAAACTAATTTACGAGCATTTTTTTTGTCTTTTTCTCTATTGTTCCATTCACAAAAAGCGCTAGAAATACAAGTAAAATAAATTTAAAATTTAAAATATGTTTTTATAGTTTTTAAAAATAAAGGGACAAATTGAGAAAAAAATTAGCAAAATGTATTTGTTGGGAATAGTATCCTAGAAGCATGAGATGTAATAAGATATTTATTATTACTTTAATAAAATAGTTTATTCATTATTTTATGTGCATATATTATTGAATATTTTATGAATATCGTTGAAAATTCCATGATTATTTATGCGACCTTAAATATTGTATATAAATGTTATATGTGATAGAATAATATTTAAGGATAACAATCAAAATGATGTTCGTAATAAATTTAATTAAAACATTACTAATACATGCCATTCTCATTCAGAATGGAACGGTGTTATCTGCACTGTTAATATGAGGAGATATTGAATAAGTGTATTACGCATAATGAGATTCTGTGGAACAGGGACATATACACAATATGAATTTCAGATAATTTCCGTTAAGTATAGAAATTCTAATTGAGTATATCGATGGTCATATATAAAATGATCTTAATCCTTAGTTATTAGCAGACTCTTATTTCTGGATTTATGTCATTTAATTTACTCGGTACAGATTTCAGAGTGTTCTAAACTAGCTTAATGCAAGGAACGTTTGTGATCAAAGAAATTAAGTTATCGACATAATCATTCGCTAGGTAAATAAATTAAATTGATTAATTTATTCATGCATAAATTAATGTAATCTATAGAGTATCTCAAAGTTTTATGAAAATTTTTGTTATACATAATCTGCTAGATACACGTTTTCACATCCGAAATCGTTTCAGAAACCAACAGTATTTATATGATTGACTCTAAAAATGATTAGTCATTAAAAAAGCATTTTTAAGGAAAAAAAGCAACTAAATAAATTCCTATCTATTTTATATTTTAAGGTAATTTATAATATATATTCTAGAATACTAAATTAGGAAATTTTTTATACCCATTTAGTTTCCCTTTAAAGAAATATATGCATTTCTTATCCTCTTTTATTTCTTTTTTTAACCAATTTTTTTTTTATTCTCTCTCTTAGACCCTCCCATCCAAATTACAATGCTATTATGAAGGTAGAGATGACCAGAATAAAATAGGATGTGCTTGATAAAGTGAATGACATGTTAGGAATAGTATCCTAAAAGTATGAGATACAATAAAGGATATTATTATTTATACAATAAAAGAGAAATTTCATTATTTATGTGTATGTATTATTGAATACTTTATGAATA